TGAGACTAGAAATCCTAGACAACACATAGCGCATTTCCGAGCCAGCTGTGGCAACACCATAAATAATGAAACTCTACTCTGCCAGCAATTTGTCAGCAGCTTCTCAGGAATTGCTTTCGACTAGTACGCTGACTTGCCCAAGGGGTCAGTTAAAACATTTTTTGAATTAGAGCAATTATTTGTGAAAAGATTTGCCAGAGCGCAGCACCATGTGTCTATTGGAGAGCTCATGATGGAAAAACAAAAGCCTAGCGAAACCTTGGTAGACTATATTTTAAGGTGGAGAAACCTTAGCATGAAATGTGAACCTCAGCTACAGGAACATCATGCGCCAATAGTTTATAAGAGGAAGTTAAAAACATAGATTCTCAAGAAAAGTCAGATAAGTCCAGAACGACTAGAATATTCAAGAAGAAATTTTGAATAGTGGCGACCATCAATAAAGGAAAGCAGCCGATAAAGATATATGCAGAAGAGAAGATAAATTTGAATCAATTCCCTTTCACACCTCTACGTCTGATCTCATTGAAAAGTCCAACCCTTTGAAATTCCTTGAAGATAATATTTCCTGATTTTTATCGAGAGTCTTCTTAGGTGACTTTGGTCATTTAAGATGTAATTAAATATAGGGGCTTGCCCTTATAGTAAGCATGTCCGAACCCAGCTTAATATAAATCTTATTTAATTTTTTATATTAAATAAGAGAACTTGTCGGAAAATATAAAGGTTTCGCAGACCAAACAAACATCATATCTTCCTTAATTTATTTGATCGAGTCTTATCCTCAAGTCTTGTATTTATCCTTCGGGATAGATACAGGATTTGAGGTACAGTGCTCTTTCATTTAAACTATGAAAAATATGGAATCAGTTTGATTTCATTAAAATGTCCTTCCGAAGCGGGCTACGGGATTTCAATTTCGGTGACCGACAGCTTCTTTCGGGCAACCCCCCAAACCAAAATAACGTCGACAATTATAACATTAAATTTGCGGAGGTTTGGAGTGGCAATGTTTGGGACAGCTCGAAACAATAAAACATATTGAGCAATGACTGGATTAGCTTCATTCATACTATCCCTATACATGATAGAGACAAACTAGATTATGCTCAAGTGAAAAAAATGCAGGTTGGTTTTATTTCTAAATATATTTCTCAAAAAATTCATGCTTTTGATATGGTGCAGGAAATTGCTATTGTTTGGGATAATATGTTGAAGCACTCTGAGGCATTATTTGCATGGAAGCATCAATTTAATTTTTATTCAATGGATGATTCTTTAAAACTGAAAGTGCTTATCTTTCCTTCAATTTGTTTATTGTGTAGGCAGGATGAGTAATCTCCTTTGCTCTTATTCTTTTATGAGAATCCTGATGTTTTATGAGAAGCCAAAAAATTGGTTTTCATATTGGAATTATTCTTTCGAGCATGCAAATTAATCAACATTTTAATTTTTTTCTTAGTTGACTGTAGAATTGAAAAAAAAAATAGCAAACTTGTGGGGTTAATTTGCAAGCATGTAACTAATTTAAGAGAAAGATTGAATTTGAAAGGCATAGAATGGAAATTTTAATAATGTTTTTGAAGTGAGGGTCAAACCGAAGGAGTCACAAACCTTCAACTCATCGAGGCAAGAGTTTGATTCTAAAAAAAGAAAAGGTGTGGAGCGTCAGAGAGATTTCAAGCTTTGAAGAAGAAGGAGTAGCATGCCTGTGACAGCCAGAGGGAGGACAAGTCAGCAGATGCTAGAGTAGCATGCCAGTGACAGCCAGAGGGAGGACAAGTCAGCAGATGCTAGTCTAGCTACAGAGCGGTCAGGTGCAGATTCAGGAGATGTTCTTTCGGTTATAGCAGGAGTAAGATGCAGATTCAGCAGATCCAATTCTCTTTTCAAAATCATCCACACTCTAACAATCCATCCATCCATCTCCCCCAAAAGGAGATTTGAGTCAAGAACCAAATATCACACTTGGGCTAAGGGTCAAATTGGGAATTTTTCTGACATCTCCCCCTCTGGGTGCCTAGGTCTTATATACGCCTCCAAAATTCATACGTTGTTGAGTTAGTTTGATGCGTAACTGAAAATCAATGCATCAATTTTTGAAGTGTAGTTTTAATATTGTTCATAGTAGTGGACAAGCTTTGAACATTTAGTCCTTGGTTGAGTTCCTCCATTCTCCTCGCCTCCTTAACATCTAAACCTGCTTGTAGAGACAGAGACTCCAACTGGAGCTGCAATTGGAACTCCTTCAAGGGAAATGTGAATGACTCATTTAAATCTCATCCATTTTATTCAATCAAACGTGCTAGTTCATGACATGATTGACTTTCATGAGCTCGTTGAATGTGAAATACAGCAGAAAAATGACTCAAATTTAGTATTGGTTAATTTTCAATGGAATTGATCTTATCATTCCAATTTTATATGAGAATCTTTTTCAGGATGTCAGCTTTGCTTCAGAACAATTCTATGGATTTTGTGGTTCCACACCTCCAAACACTTTTAATGACGGTGAAATGGTATGTTACATTGATTCATTAGTTGAAGCTATTGAATGGAGTATTGTTTGTACTGTTAACTTTATGGAATATTTACATACATGCCAGTATGCCACTTAATTCTTCTGTATTTACCATCTAGCATTTAAATTTCAATTTTTACATATATGTCACCTTACTTATACTGTTAGCAATTGTAGACACCTAGCCAGCACATATTGTGCCCTTGCCATCTTGAAAATTGTTGGTTACAGTTTCTCAAATTGTTACCTTGAACCAAAATCATTTTCAATGAGAGTGTTTCAACTGCCTCATGGAAGGTATACTTTCTACTTCATCCACTCTACAATTTTATCAAGTTTTTCTTCACAATTAAAAGAAAGAGGTTGAAAAGTGGACATGTCATTCATATGATCGAATTTTGTGGCTAAAGAAAGGGTTCAAAACTTCATATGGTACCTTTGTTGTAGTTTTGTGCATATACATTGCATGTATTCTTTCACCTATGTATTCTTTCAAGAGAAAAATAAATACAAGACGTAATATAAGTGGATCCAGTACTATTGTTTTTTTTCTTGGGGCATGTACAAACACACCACCCAATTCTTATTTATTTACATATCTAACACCTAAACTTTGCTTTTTAACATTTATACAAATATTTGATCCCACATCAAAAAGATCATTTTTTTAACTTTTATAAATTGAAATATAGCTTTTCATGCATGGGTTATATATGTAAAAATTGAAGTTTTGGTGTTAGATATGTAAATACATAAGAATTGATGGCAAGCAAGTAAATCTTCTTCTTCTTCTTTTTTCTTTCCTTCAACTCTCTAGGTGTACAACTGAACTAAATATGAGAACTTAATGAGATATATTGACATATTGAGCATGCATTGATGCTATTTATATGTATATGTTGAAAATTTTCCCATCCTCTCCTAAAAAATTGCTTTTTTTTTTTTTTATATGTATATAATTTTTTATTTTCTCGTTCATGAACTTAGTCTTTAAATCATTGCAGTTTGGATGATGTTGCCAGCCGCAAATCTGCAATCTGTTTTATGTTGAACAATTGGACTGGAATTAATAAAATGAAGGCAAGAGAATACATACTTAAATGTCTGGTCGTTCCTTTAAAGAATGGGATTTTGAATGTTTTCCACCTTAACTTTGATAGATTTTGTTTGAATTGGTTCAAAGTGGCTCGATTGACATAATATTAACATTTATTCGACGATCATCTTTTTATAACGAGTTTTTTTTTTCTGGGCTACGGTGGCCCAGAAAATCAGCCGCCCCAACTCCTAAGTAAAGATAGAGTAGGCTTTGGTAAATCTAAGCCTTTAATTATTCTAAAAAAAATCATTATTTATTTGAAGACATAGTAGGCTTTGGTTGATTGTTTTGATTTGGTACAGGAAGGGCAGAGCTATGATGGTTATGTTGATCTTCATGATTTTTTTTACTTCTTCTAATTGTCTTATTTATTACTCTGAATTTTTACATCTACTTTCTGCAGCTTGAGGAGTTTTATATTTATCTACGCGCTCAATTTCGGTCAAAAAGGGTGAGCCACTAGTGGAGATTCTGCGTGTTGGAGAGGGGGTTAAATATTTTCCTCAAGGTCACATGGAGTAGGTGAGTATATGTGCTTTCATGGAGGATAAATAGGGCTGAATAAATGTGTTGTTGAACTGTGTAAAGTATTGTAAATTCAACTGCATGCATGTATTGAATTTAGATTGGCTCATATACTTAGTATGCATAGAGCTTAGTTGGAATTTATATTATTGGTTGAATTGACAAGTTTTCTTTTCTTATCTTTTTATGAAAGAGATTATTTGCTTGAATAATTGGATATAATAACTAAAGATGAAAAGATATTTTTGTTGAAGTTTTGATTCAGTTTCAAATGTTATTTATTATTTTTGGTAGTTTGAGAATTAATAAATAAATTATTGTTTATTCAACGATTCAAATAATATAAATAATTTTGAACAATTTCAAATAATTCAAACAAATGCTAACAATTCAAACGATTCAAACATTTTGAACAATTAGAGCAATTCAAATAATTCAACTAATTTCGAATAAATGGAACCGAACACGAATAATAACTTCACAAATAATTTCCAAATGGAACCGAACACGAACAATAACTTCACAAATAATTTCGAACACAAGTCTATTTCAAATAAATCGAACACGAACATTAGAATACAAGTCTATTTCAAATAAATCGAACACGAACATTAGTTATATTGGTTTGTGTGGGTGCTTAATTTTTGTTTCAATAGTCATTTTAAACGTGCAAAACGTTTATTCCATACATAATGAAATCAACCAACTTTAAATAACGACGCAAAATTGTAAATCACTCATTCAATCCTTGCAATCCAGCCATCAATTTCGCTGGGGCAATCTGAACCGTTAAAGGAAGCATGGATCTCAAGCACGACCGCACGGTGAACCACACGCCACACACGAAGCCAAGCTTACTGCTGACAGAGCCGGATATTCTCTCGCTGTCTCTTAAATTTCTGCTACCCTGTTGTTTGTTGGGATGTAGCCATTCCAGCTCTAGGCTCAAATATCGTTTTTCTTACTGCGAAGAAAGTGCATGGCGACGGCCATCTCCGGTCGGATTGCGCTGCCTCCAGGTCACGTACTCAGTTGCAGACCAGGTTCCCTCCTCGTCTTCATTGATTTCTATCTGATTTATTTAATCTATCTCGTTTTTTCCCGCTTTTATTCGTTGTGGGGCCATTACAGGTGGATTCCATTGTTAAATCTTGTAGATTATTGCGGTTGTTGGTTCCTTTGTGCTGTTTTGCTCACTCGGAGGGCAATCAGTTGTTCTTCTCACTGAATCATTACTTTTGTTGCTTCTAGTTGGAGAATTTTCATTCAGTTTCTGGTTTTTCCCTTTGAATCTGGAGGTTTGAGTTCCGATGATGATATCATGTTGGCATGCATTTTTAAATTTAGGAGATTCGGGAAGGAGTTGTCATTCGGGATTCACTTGCTACTTTTTGGAGATTGAATAGGGTTGTTTTACTCTTTGTTCCTTCTAATTGTAGGAAATTTTTATTTTTGATTTTCGCCTGAAACTTAAATTTTGAGTTCTAATTGCGAGTGAGATATTTGGTAAGGTGTTGAAATTGAGGTTCAATTCCTGTTTGAAACCATGCTTGTGTTTCTGCTAGTTGGTAGAAATTACTTTTAATTATTGAGTTTGTTTCTGATTCTTGTGGCTGGAGTTATGATTGCTTCTTGTTGTGATGCATTTGGGGAAGTGAGAGATTTGGGAACGAGTGGAATTTGGGGTTCTTTCACTCACTTGAGATTGACTTTTTGGAGTTATTTTATTTGTTTGAATGGAAGGCCACTTGTAACCTGCTAATTGTGGAAGACTTTTTTTTTCAATTTTTAGTTTTGCTTCTGAAACTTGAGGTTCTAACTTTGGTTGCATGCTCTTCAGATACATTTTGGGAAGTAAATTTGAGAACGAGTTGATATTTGGTTGATTCACTGTCATTAATGCTTGCATGGAGATGGAATGGTTATAATTATGGAGTTCTAAGATGAAATCCCACCTGTGCTTCTGCTAATAGGATGAAATTTCCTTTATTTTTTGGGTTTGTTTCTCAATATTGAGGTTTAGTTCTAATTACATGTTCTGGAGATGCACTTTCCAACGTGACAAATTTGGGAATAAGTTAATATATAATTGAGGTTCATTTGTTATGATTGGTTCTCACGTAAAGCTTGAATAGGTTTGTTTTATTTTTTCTTACTCAAACATTTCTTATTATTATCATTATTCTAGTTATTTTTATCCCAACTATTTTATGGATCCTCATTTTCATTTGTTCTCGGTAAGTGATGCATGGGATGTTATGCTTATTTTGTTAAATATTTAAAAAAAACTTTTTATTATATTTTCTCAGATTCACCCATTTTTTCTTAATCATGCATTAACTTCATTTAACAATCTGATGTGTTCATTTTATATTGTTTGTGTATATGTCCAAATCAATTAATGAAGTTAATGACACAAAACATTAAGTTTATTTTAATCAGTAATCATTTTGTTCATTATTTTGTATGCATACATCTCAATTCTCATTTTTAACATGCTCGACATAACTAAAATTTGTCTTGTATTCGGGCTCATTGGAAAGGAATTTTCCTTCAATTCACAGTTTTACTTTTGAATGTTCTTGGTTTCAAGCTATCATTGTATTTTGTTGGGATGCATTTCAAAAAGTGGCAGATTTGGAAGGGAATTGATATTTATGTTTGTCTATGGTATTGGGATTCACTTGGACATTGAATACTTCGAGCTGTTTTATTCTTCTGACTTAGATTCTACTTTAATTCCTAATAATTTTAGGCATATTCCTTCAATTTATTTGGCTTCCTTTTAAATCTTAAGGTTTTAGTTCAAGCAGTCCAATTGTGTTCCTGCTAGGTTTCTTCTTAAGCTAGTCATCCATATTAGTTGTAACCTTTTATTTTGAGCCATTTTTACTTAAGTTTCAGTTTCTCAATTTACTACTTTCTCATTTCTACCTCAACTAGGACAAAACCATCTCATTCTATTTTATGTACATTTTCTTCTCTATTTTCTATAATCTTCCAACTTCATTTCTAATTATGATATGCTCAACAATATTTTTATTTCTTCTTCAATTGATCCGAGAAGCTCGGTCTTACTACATTGAAGTATGACATGCTTATTAGGTATTTCTTATCTTATAAAGTTGTAAGTGAAATTGACATAATCTATGAAGAACTTTTGACTACTCTTTAGATACACAGATTGTCAATATGCGTGTGATGCCAAATTATAGTGCTAAACTACTAAATATCAGAATGTTGTTTTAAGTACTCTAGGCAATTAAAATTCATCAAAATATTTTAAGTTGTTCGAAGTAATTGGTTGCAAAAAGAAAGTTGAACAGAAATGAGATTGTAGCGATGACGACTACATATGAGAAATTAGGTGAAAGAACGAAAGAAAACAGTAGCAGCGAAAACTTACAAGGTCTTAGCAGTGTAGCAATGAAGGCTACAACTTATAAAAATGAAAAGAAAAAGGCTTAAATCCGAATATCATCAGAGATTGGGGAAAATTTAGTTGTGAAGTTGATTTCATTGTTTGTGCCCAATTTATGCAATGTTAATCAAGTTTCTAATAAGAAATACACAATCAGTAATTGAGAAGAATACCAAAGAGCATATCACTTTAGCTAGAGCTCTTTCATTCTTTGGCTTGGGGTGCATAAAGTTGGGATGAGATCTTTCTTCATCATCATTAGCCTCACCCCAACTATCTTGGGCCAACTTTTTCATTCAGATTTATAATTAGCTAATTATTGACTAATTAACGATTCAGGCAGTAAATCATGAATTAAATACTGTTAAAGTAGCTATAACAATTACTAATTGGTTAATTAGTATGGTATTAGTTAATAATTACCATATAAATGAAACAATAATATTGCCAAGTTTAATTGATTAATTAGGTTGACAAATTTTGGGTTTAATAACTACATAATTAGTTTTTTTATTGATGATCATTAAATGACCCTTGAGCAATTAATTGTTTAACTTGTTCGTGATTAATTAAATAGCTAAAATATTAGCTAGACTTTTAATAATTGAAATTTTATTCATCCCATTGAGTTTTATGTATTTTTTTACTTGTTATATAATGGCATAGAATCAGTAGAATATGGATTTCGGTACTATGGCAGTCTGTGTCTCTAGGAATTTCATTTATTGTTGATGTTGTATTAAAAAATAGCCAACTGGAAAGGGGTTCTTTTGAACATCAATCTCAATGTTAAAAAACTAAATTGTGTTTTTTTTTTATCTATTATCATGCATGCCATTGTTTGCTCAATTAGAAAGCTGGTGTATGGGAGTTACAATGATGATATGTCTAATTGTAATGATGATATCTATGGAACTATGTTTATACCTGTTTACTAACGCATTTAGCATATAGAAAGAAATGATTATGGTTGATTTACTTTTATGCTTGGATTTATGCATACAATAACAACAACAACAACAACAACAACAAACCTATATACCACTAAGTGGGGTCGGACTTGGATTTATGCATATGCTTCCAAAATGGTTCACTCATGCTTTTTCTGTACTCTTTATAATATATGTTCAGTAATGCAAATATTTGCTTGAGTTCATGTAAAGGTTTTGAGGTTCCTAATGAAATTGTCCCGGACTATCTGCTGCATCAAACATTCTATTTTGTGCTTTGTGTTATTGACCTTATTTTTTGAAACTTTCAGCGTGATATACTTGATTAAACAAAAAAAAAAAAGGTAAAAAAAAAAATAATAACCCTTTCATCACATTCCAAAAATTAGATATCTAACTTGAGGCCCAAAAAAATAAATGCAATTAAGTGAATTAATATGAATAATGTTTTTGCAAGATTTTTCAATTATGACTAAGAACTTATGATTATACACCTCTCAATATCTCGGGATGATTCCAGTCGCTGGAGTTATGAATTTGTTTTCCCTTGAATTTTCACCTTGAGCAAGAAACCATCTCTGTTGATCATATAGATTATAAATTATCTTCAGTTTTTTCTGATAATTGTTTTACTCTGTGGTGACCAAATCTTTTCGATATTAGTTGCTTATCGAATGCACATGCACATCAGGTGATAAACTGCACTTATATAAGGGACATTATGTGAATTGTGGCATTCCCCGGACAATATCAGCTGCTGGGGCAGGTAAAGGCGGGGTATTGGAAAGACCAACCATAGAGAAATTTATTCCTGGTCAAGAGTCTGAGTTTGACCTGAGGTACTTGCATCAGCCAGACTTAATCTTCATTGTTATTGCAGCTTTTTTTAATGATTTTAGATCCAAATAATTGGTAATCCGTGTTGTTTTCTTAAAATATGTCTTATAAAAACCAGGAAAAGGCTCATTAGGTTTACTTAAATTTACTTTTATGGTTTATGTGGAAATATGGGAAAAACTTTTATTTCTCACTCTACTCAATGAATTACTCCTTAGTACATATATAATAGTGTGGTCATCATACCGGTCCACAAAATAAGAAAAAGGAATCCTTTTAAATTAGGAATCTCACCAAATAGGAATGTCTAGTAAAAGAAACACAATTACTGAAATATATTCTGAGTGAAAAATAAATGCTTTCTTGATCAAGCATGCAAATTAGCACTTTTTTACTCCTCCCCCTCAAGCTAGTTTGTATGATTGTACAAAACAAGTTTGGACTTCTATTCATCATAATTGACCCTTGGTAGTCTTTGGTGAGAATATCATTAATATGAAGTTGTGTCTTTCGTCTCAACCATAAGTTCCCTTCCTAATCTTTGAATCCACATTCTCTCACATATTTCTAATGCAAGGGCATAATTCAGATTCAACACTATTTCAAGAGATGAAAACTTACTTTTTTTACTTCTCGACATGATGAGATTGCCCCAAACGTATTAATAACATCTATTTATTGATTTCATATCAATTACCTCTCCTCAATTAGCATCTTCTTTAGTCTGATAATTTTCTCTGAGTGATCATTTGTCAAAATAATATCTACATATATTATGAGAATAGCAATTGTCTTTAGGATTAAATTTAACAATCAGTGTATGATCAATTTGACATTGATGACATCCTTTTGTAATAATTATTTTAGCAAACTTGGAAAACCATGTTCAAGAAGATTGCTTCAAGCCACAAAAAGGCTTCTTTAAATTACAAACCAACCTATTGCTCTAGCTATTTTCCAAGGTCGGAGGTATAGTCATCTAGATTTCTTCACCAAGGTCACTATTCAAAAAGATATTTTTGATATCAAGTTGGTGTAAAGATTAACCTTGATTTACTATAAGAGAGAGTAGAACCCAATTAAATTTGACAACAAGTACAAATGTTTCCTGATGGTCAATCCTATATAACTTTGTTGAGCCCTTGGGAACCATTTTGGATTTTTATATCTACCCTTCTGTCTCATTTATACTTGATCATGAATAGACATTTTTAGCCTACAAGATTTTTCCCATGTGGTAATTCTATAAGTGTTCATGCTTTATTCTTTTCTAGAGCCCAAAGTTCCTCTTTAACTGCATGCTTTAATGTTTGAACCTTGAGAGCCTCTTGGATAGAGCTAAAAACCTGCACACTATCAAGATTTGTCGCGAAAGTCCTGTAAGATGGTAGCAATTTCCCATAAGCTGCATATATTTCAATTGGATGACTAGTGAACCATCAAGTAGCTTTTTTATGTGTAGTTGGTTAACTAAAGTCTTCGACCATCGGTGTAATTCTTGAGTTGAGGAATCCATAGCAATTTGATTATCGTATGCAGGACTTATTTATGGCTCTTGATAGTCTTTGGTCTATGTAGTGTCCTCTGCATGCTCAGTGGTTCTTTTGGTGTAGACGCAAAATTCCTGATTATTGGTGTCATGTTGAAGTGTTGTAGAGGCAGTTGGGACTGTTTCTATGACAAAATTTGGTTATTCAAGTTGAGTTATTTGAGGGATAAGTTTTGATTTAGTTAAAGGAAGAAATCCCAAATTTGATATTCCCTCAAGTTCTCCCAACTTCCGCAGCCTCCCACTGGGTTTTGTTACTTCGTTTCCGTAAGCGCTTATGACTCATTGTATTCATATAGAACAATCAACAAAGATGTTGCTTCCATCGCTTTGTTTCCTGCAAGCAGTGACTCGTCATTTTCATGCGAGCAATTCACAGAGATAGGGCCACTATTTTCACGCGAGTAGTTTGCAATGATATGGAATCCCAGTATTTTCTCTCTCTAATATTCTCATTTTCCCTGGTTTTGCAGCCAAGCCTCTTTTTCTAATAGAAATCAGTTCCAACAGGCTAGATCCAGACACACTCTCTAGCAGAAGATTTGTATTGACGATAGACAGTTTTCAATGAATTTTGTATTTGCAATAGATAGTTTCTCTCACTCTAGTGTAAGTTTTGTATCAGCAGCATACAATTTCTTGTTCTAGTGGAAAACTTATGTTGACGACGTATAGTTTTTCTCTCCAATGAAAATCTTGATGATGACCAAATATGACATGAAAGCTATTTTTTCCTCTTCAGAAGTTATGTCTGAATCTAAACTTAGAATGTTTGGTTCCGCAACATCTGAAGTCTATGTCTGTATCACCATTCAGAAATCACATGATATTAATTTTCTTCAAAGATCTCAATTTGTATTCATACACATTTGTGGCAAAGGAAAAAGCGATCATCTCGCTTAAGATTTTGCACCAGAAGTTACTATTCATAAACACCGGACATAGAAGATTGAAGATCACATAGTCATGTCATAGCTTATCAACTCCCTGACCACGAAAATTAGAGAAAACTTCCTCTTGCACAAAACGATAAAAGAAATTTGGGATGCCCCAAGGAAAACCTATTCAAGTTTTGACTGCACCTCTGAATTGTTTGACATTGAAACTAGATTACATGACCTGCCACAAGGTGAGTTAAATGTTACTCAATATTTCAACACTCTCTTCAAATATTGACCCCAGCAAGATATATATGAAATATACACATAAAGGTTCTCACAAGATTCTCCCATTTACAATACCATTGTTGAACAGAAGAGAACCATCAATTTCCTTTTAGGACTTAACAAGAAACTAAATGAATTCGTAGGAAAAATCATTGGAACCAAACCTCTTCCCTTAATTCGTAAAGCCTTTGTTGAAGTACGATGGGAAGAGAGAAAGAAGAAATTGATGATGGTAGGTATTCCCATTACATCAAATGTTAACAACTCAGCTATATACACTCACAAATTATCACAGGACAACAAGTCAAAGTAGGATAGACCTAGGTGTGAATATTACAAAGAGCTTGGTCATCTTAAGGAGAAGTGCTGAAAAATTTATGGAAAAATTGCAAAATAGAAACCCAACAAAGTCAATGGTGATGGGTTAAATCAAACAAACACAACATCAAAGGAAGATACACAACGTAGTCAATTTAGTAAGGAACAACTTGAAGCTCACTAAAGACTTTTGTGCCATTATTTTAAGTCTTCTACTAGCCTTTTAGCACATCAAGGTAGTCTTTCATTTGCTCTTATTGCTTTCAACAGGAAGAATCAGTCTTGGATAGTAGACTCTAGAGCATGCGATCACATGATAGGTGATCACTATTTTTCAATCATTTAATTCTTACAAACACCATTATGGAGTTAGAATTGCAGATGACTCCGTCTCATCTGTGGAAGGAAGAGGAAGTGAGAAATTTATGAAGGATCTTATTCTTCAATTTATTCTTTATGTTTTTAAACTTCATTGTAATTTGTTGTCTATCAGTAAACCCACTCTTAACATGAATTGTGTTCCTAAATTTTATCGTCATTTGTGTGAATTTTAGGTGATGGACTTGGGAAAGGTGATTGGCTATGCTGATATGTATTATTGTAGACTTTATCTGCTTACTAGGACTCCCACTTCAAAATGACCATCGCATCATTAACAATCCTTTGAGTTAAGTCTTGTATCCGAGTCTCTTTCTCATGAGAGTCAAACCATGTTATGGCATTTTCACCTTGGGCATCCTAACTTTTATTATATTTAAAAATTGTATCCCCATTTATTTATTAATAAATGCCTAATTTTTATGAGTGTGAAACTTGATAACATGCTAAACACACTTGATAAGTGTACCCAAGTCTCAAAATATAAACCAACACATCATTTCTCCACGATTCATAGTGATACTGGGGGCCCTCAAAAATAAAAAATATAAATGGGACTAGGTGGCTTGTCATCTTCATTAATAACCACACTATAACTACTTAGACATTTCTTATGAAAGAAAATCTGAAGTTGTCAACATATTTGAAACCTTTCACAACATGATCATCACTCAATTATAGACTACAATTCAAATTCTTAAAATTGATAATTCAAAAGTTTACTATAACTTGACTTCGGCCTTATCTATCAAAAAATTACATCATTAATTTAAGCTCTTGCGTTGACACATACCAACAAAATAGTGTGAATGAGAGAAAGAACAGGTATCTCCTTAAAGTAGCTCGGTCAATTCTATTTATTAATAATGTACCCAAATACTTTTGTGGAATGTAATTCTCACATCCACCTATTTCATAAATTGGATGCCCAGCAGATTATTAAACTTTAACAAACCTCTTAGCACTCTCATAAAATCATGCCCGCATATTCAGTCATTCACATCAAACCTACTAATATTTTAGTTGCATCGCTTTTGTTCATCTACATCAACTTAATCAGACCAAACTTGATCTTAGTTCATGCAAATCATCTTTGTGTGCTACTCTTCAAACAAAAAGGGGTACAAATGCTACTATTCAGAAACACAAAAATTTTATAACTTAATGGATGCCACAAAAATGTACAACATACTCAGTACCCCAAATTTAACATTTAGGATATAAGTTGGACAAAATATCAGATTTGGGATACCATTCAAGAACCTCGAGCTCACCTCCCTTATATCTCTGATGAACCCTCTCTTATCCTCATTATCACAGATCAACCTAAAAATGAAATAATTACTCCACAAAATCCTTTCACGGCTCCCACTAAGATCCAATAACTTTGTGTGTACACTAGAAAGAAATAACCCAGTGAACATCTAAGATACAATATGCAAAATCAGTAATGCAAATCATTGGAACAAACTCCACATATCACAAATATTCACACTAAGGTTGGGTCAACACATCATGAACATCGAGAGGAAAAAGGAGCACAAGAATGCACAACATACCTGATAAAAGAATTTGTGACATTGAAAATTAT